GCTGCTGGAGGAGGCAGAGAAGCTGCTGCCTGTTCTCACACACACATACAGACACACACACACAAACACAGGGCAAGTGTGGCTTCCACCTGCCTTGGTGGCTGTTCTCCATGGCCTGTGGGCCACCAGCACTGCAGCTTCAACCAGAGGGACTCTTCCCTGCCCACAGGCTGCATCCTACTACTGCAACAAGCTGGGGTTTGAGGAGCTGGCGTACCGGGGACTGGAGACCGGCAGCAGGGAGGTGGTGTCACATGTCGTCAAGCAGGACAAGGTAAGGGAGCCCCTGACAGAGGTGCCAGGGCAGAAAAGGGTGAGGTGGTGTCAGACATGAGGGTGCTGCCAAACCCACCACGAAAACCATCACCTGCAGCTCCATCCTCACCTCTCCTCCTCTTCCTCGGCAGATCGTGTTTGTCTTCTCATCCGCTCTGAACCCAGGGAATGAGGGTAGGTGTCTCTGGGGGGCATGGAGTGGGAAATGGCCCTGGCAGAGCAAAGCAGTTCTGCTCATGCCTGTGGCTGTTCCTGCTCTGGGCAGAGATGGGGGAGCACCTGGTGAAGCATGGTGATGGGGTGAAGGACGTCGCCTTCGAAGTGGAGGACTGTGACTTCATCGTGCAGGTGAGCAGCCCCTCCACTCCTTCTCATGGAGCCCCCCAAAACCATGAGGGAGGCAGGGAGGGCCTAGCTGATGTCTCCCCCTGGTGTGGGGGAGCTGCAGCAGGACAGGATCTCTCTCCTCCTGCCCAGAAAGCCAAGGAACGCGGTGCTGTGGTGGTGAAGGAGCCATGGGTGGAGCAGGACAAATTTGGGAAGGTGAAGTTTGCAGTGATCCAGACGGTGAGTGGCAGGGCAGGGCCATGGAGCTGGCTGCAGCTGGGAGGCCCCCACATAAACAAAGCCACAACACAACCACTTTCCCCCCTTACAGTACGGTGACACCACCCACACCTTGATAGAAAAGCTCAACTACAAGGGCCTGTTCCTCCCTGGGTACCAGCCGCCCCTCTTCAAGGACCCCCTGCTGCCCAAGCTGTGAGTACTTTCCAGAGGGTCCTGCCTGGCCCTTTGCCATCACGTTCTGGTGGGATATCCTGCCAAGGAGCTGGACAGGTCCCCATTGCCTTGCCCTGGGGCCCCCTGAGCTGTGGGGTACCCCTGAGCCTGGCTGAGACCCTCCTTGGCTTCCCCCCGCAGACCAAGCGCCAAGCTCAGCTTTGTTGATCACGTCGTGGGGAACCAGCCTGACCTCCAGATGGTGCCAGTGGCAGACTGGTGAGAGTGGGGAGAGCTGGTGGGAGGTGGATGGAGCAGCAGCACAGCTCTGCTGGTCTCACATCTCTCTGATGAAGCCAGAGCAGAGCTTCATTGCTGTGGGGATGGAGTAAGGGCTTGACTGTGCCCCTTGTGACCTGGGCAGGTACCAGAAGAACCTGCTCTTCCACCGCTTCTGGTCAGTGGATGACAAGCAGCTGCACACCGAGTTCAGTGCCCTGCGCTCCATTGTGGTCACCAACTATGAGGAGACCATTAAAATGCCCATCAATGAGCCAGCACCTGGCAAGAAAAAATCCCAGATTCAGGTGAGTGGACACTGGTGGTTGAGCCACCTGGCTGCCTCCACTCCCAGGGGGATCTTGGTGAAGGAAAAGGGACCAAGGGTTAGTGATTTGGAGCCAGAGCAGTCCTGCTGTGCTGAAGTGGCTGCTAGAAAGCAATCCTGGCTCTGCTTGGGTCTGGCAAACCCTGGGGGGCTGAGCCATTTTACCCCAATCTCATCAATACTCTTTGTCATTCCATGGTGCTCCTTCGCTTGCCTGCATATTTTTAAGCCCACACCCATCCCTTCAGAGCTGCAGCTGCGCTGTCACTTCCACAGTGACATCTTTTCCCTCTAGGAATATATCGATTACTACGGAGGGGCCGGAGTCCAGCACATCGCACTGAACACCCCCGACATCATCACAGCAGTGAGTGCAGCCCTGGGACCCCTGCCCTGGGACCCCCTGCCCTGGGACCACCCCTTGCCCCAGCTCTGGGCACGGTGCTTGTCACAGGGTGGACCATGACCCTGTCAGGGTACAAGGACACAGAGCCATCAGGCTTTGTGCCGTGGTTGTTTTACAACCAGGATTAACTGCCCAGGGAGTCACTGCAGAGGGACTGGCCTGCACCTGTGAGCTGCCTGTCCCTCCAGTTTAAAGCAACTGGGGTCTGCAGGGCTCTTGGTGGCATCTGTGTCCTTGCAGGGTGCCTGGTGGGACTGAGGCAGCCACGGCTGCCAGGCTGAGCCCCACAGCCCATAACCTACCTTCAGCCAGGGTGGGGGCAGATCTGGGTTGAGCCCAGCTGCTGCTGAGCACCCAGGTTTGGGCTCCTCTCTGGACCAAAGGGCCTCCAGAGGTATCAGTTGAGAGCAGGACAAAAGATCCTTGCACAGCTCCCTGCAGTGCCTGGGGAAGGCATCTTGGGCCTGCCCATTCCTGGTGCCAAACAATGAGGCAGGTTCTCACGCTTGAGGCTGGCCAATGCCATGGGAAAGCATCTGTGTCCTGTCCCAGGAAACGCTCCTGGCACAAACCCCTCCCAAACTGAGCCCTGCTGGCTCTCCCCTGCCTTGCAGATCACCAACCTGAAGCAGCGGGGCATGCAGTTCATGGATGTGCCCTCCAGCTACTACCAGGTGCTGCGGGAGAGGCTCAAAACTGCCAAAATCAAAGTGAAGGAGAACATTGACAAGCTGGCGGTGAGTCAGAGCGGGTCAGGCCTGCCCAGGGCTGGACCAGCTCCCCAAAGTGCTTTGCAGGGATGTGAGTGACACAGAGAGCCCCACTTGCTCCTCTGAGGGTGTTCGAGCTGTCGCCTCATTTCTTTTCTCCAGGAACTGAAAATCCTGGTGGATTTTGATGAAAAAGGCTATTTGCTCCAGATCTTCACCAAACCAGTTCAAGACAGACCCACGGTCTTTCTGGAGGTGATCCAGAGGCACAACCACCAGGTTGGTTTGAGGATCTCCTGCTGATCCTGGCCATGAGCCCTCAGGGCCACCAAGCCCCTGGTCCGTAACGCTGCCGTCTCCGCAGGGCTTCGGCGCCGGGAACTTCAAGTCTCTGTTTGAAGCCATAGAAATGGATCAGGATGCCAGAGGAAACCTGACTGTCCTGGAGCCCAACGGCGAGACCAAGATGATGTAGAGGATGGCAGGAAGTGCTGCCTTCATCCCTAAGGAGCTGAATCCCAAATGAACTGGGAAACACCCGATGTCCTGATAAATAGCCCAGACTTGAGAGCCACAAATCCAGGGAAGCCACTGCCGAGCTGGACAATGTTAAAGGACCCAACACCTCTCCCAACCCCACCCCAGCACTGCCCTTGGGTGACTTCCTGGGAGACAGGGCGTGGGAAATAGCAAATGCTCTCAAAAAGCAGCTTAATCTGATCCAAACCACGGAATTCTTAACAAAGGGCAGATTTAGGGCATGTGCCAAAGACACGCAGCTACAGAGGAAGACAGAAGAAACAACTGGGAGTGCTCAAATTTAGTCTATCCAAAGTTTTAATTTTAGCTACACGGGAAGCTGTGAAAGCACGGAGGCGTTTGCCTCTCTGCGCATCTCCTTTTGTAAGATTTTGGTTTAATTGCTTTTAGAGTCAATCTTGAATTTGAATTTGCTGAAAATAAACATGGTTTTAGGGTAGCTCCAACACTCTGGAATGAGAATTAATTGTATTTATATATTTCAGCCTTCCCAAGGCAACACAGCCTTGCTCTAATACCTGTAAATTCCTGCATTAATGATGGGTTGGGGTTTCTCCAGTGTTCCAAGCAATAATTGCTGGCATTGGCAGCGATTCCTTGGCTCAGATCCTGGCTGCATGTGCAAAGTCCCCTCTGGGTGTTGCTCTGGTGTTGTCACTGTCCTTTGCACGGGGAATTCCTCCCCAACGCAATAAATCCCTTTTCTGACACGGCCTGAGTGCCTGGGGAGTCCCTGTGTTCCCAGGGGCTGCAGGTCCAGCACTCCCTGTCCCAGCTGCTGAAGGACACCCTGGGGTGTCCCCACTGTTGCAGAACCACCCTCCACAGCCCCTCTGTTCCCAGTTTCCCAGCGTGGGAGCTCTCAGAGCCCGAGCAGCCCAAGCTCCTGCCGAGGCCGGGCTCCAGACACGAGTCCCAAGGTGTAGCTGTGTCCTGCTGCCCTGTCCTGTGCTCACCTGAGGAATGCAGGAGCTGAGCTGGAGTCACCTACAGCCTCTGTCCTGTCTCTTCCACCTCCTCCTCCTCCATCAGCCATTCTACTTGTCCCTGCTCCAGGTATTTCTTATTAAATAAAAGCTCAGAGAGGCCACTGTGATCCCCCAACCCCCCAATGTGGGGGGTACAGCTCACCAAACCTGAGCTGCTCTCCCTTCTTTGGATCCCAGATTTCTTACAATGGCAGAATATCCTGGGAGGGACCCACAAGGATCATCCAAGTCCAGCTCCTGGCCATTTGAATAAACTGATTTAAAAAGGAAGAAAGCAAAGAGCCTCTGGCCACAACAGCCTCACACATCACTGACACCTCACCTGGAGGTTCAGGGCTTTTGACTCCATAAAGTTAAAAAGAAATAAATAAAAAAAAAGGATATTAACTCAGAGCAATCCAGGGCAGAAACTGGAGGAGCAGGAACCTCTCACCTGCAGAGGTTGGACGTGTTTGGGACTCCTGGTTCACTGTCAGGAGAGCTCTGCTTCAGCTCTCCAGGGTTGTCAAGATTGCTCATACTGAGACATTTCTTAAAGGTTATAGACTAGAATCACTCATGTAATTCTTTCATGCAATATAATGTTGCTTCATTTCCTGCTCACCAGAATTAGTATTTTCAGTAAACTTTGCTGAAAATCAGTTCTTCACACTGTTCTTGTTCTGCATCTGCCTCTTTGAGCTCTCACAGCTCCCAGCACAGGTCTAAGAGCAAAAAGCTTCCCTGATAATATATTAAGCACAACATAATTTTTCTGTAAGAAAAGTCAGTATATTTATGGTTTGCTTTATAAAAGTTACTATAATACAATGGTACATAGTATTCAATTCACAAAAATATGAACAAATATATACAGCATGACACATCCACAACAAAAACACTTTCTTCAAAACAAGATACATACTGGTGACAGATTCTATATGCACAAAACATCCCTAAATTTATAAATTTGCTTAACAAAAGAAAAAGCAGAAATCCTAAATCTTCAAAGCAGAGTTGTTGGTTTTTTTTAAAAGGAACTTAGGAAAAAAAAAAATAAATTTTTTTTTAATTTATTGCAAACCATTTGACCTGCCTACTTTTAAAGGAGGCCCTTGATTTCCACGATGGGAATTAAAACCAGTAAACTGCAAGAATTGGGAGCTGGGTGTTCTTCCACTTTGCTTTGAAACTGCCCCATTGTTTTAGAGTGTCCTTCTTGATGTGTTTCTTTTCACTTGGACAAATCCTACAGTGGCAATTAAGGAGGAAACTCATAAAAACAAAACAAATATTAAACTGAAAAAATCCAGTTGCAAATTTGCTTAAATACATTTTAGGGTGTCTATTAGACTGTACACATTTCCTCGCTTGAAATAAATAGAATTTGCACATTAGGTTTCAGACTGAGGGAGGGGGGGAAAGAAGAAGCCTTGACTTGGCAATTTTTTGTCTTCAGTTTCTTAATGCTTCTAATTTCACCTATTTATTTGACAAAAAAACCCCCATATTTATACAGAATTTACATTATACAAAGCTTGACACAAGCTGTAAATGCCACCAGCTCCTTTGCTATACTCAGTCCTTCTTCCTCCCCATCTTGACATGATTTAGAGCTGGAATCTGTTTAAAAAGAACTCCAAATTACAATAGTCACTTTTAATAAACTATTTACATGCTCTTGAAGTACAAAGAAATCAGCAAAAAAATTTCAACATGTTTCTACAAGAAACAGTGTTTGAAGAGAAGATTCTTGAGTTCGCCTATGTACAGAAGATGCATTTTTTTATACTTCAAAATCCTTTTTTTTCCTTAAATTTTTATTTTGTACAGAAATGCACTGAAATGATCCCTGAAAAAGGTCACAAAAACCAGAACTGAAACTACTGTGTAATGGAGTTTAAAAATTATGTTTTTTTTCTTTCCTTGTAGAAATAAGCTGCTCTATACAATATAAATAACTGCAGGATGAGCCCCCATCCCCTCCTGGACCCCCCCAGAGTCTCAGACCACTGTGGGACCAGCCTGGGACTGCAGAGAGGTGTGAGCCACACGGATCCTGTGGATGCCAGCATGGAGGCACCTGCACCCTGACCTCCCACAGCTGCAAACCAAAACCTTCAATTCTATCTCCGTAATTTTGCTCTGTTCTCTTGGGTCATTCCTCTCAGCAAGATGGAATTTTGCAGGGAGCACTGTAAATGTCTCTTTTTTTGTCTGAGGCTCAAATTGAAGTGACAATAAATTTGGGGATGGGCTTTTCAGTGGACAAAAGCACTGCAGTGCCTGTTAGCAACATGTGCTGGTGAGGTTCCTCTTTATCCCTGTCACTGTTTCCATGGGGTCCCAGGGAACTTGTGCTGCATGTGAACCACACAGCTCCTGCCCTCCTCTCATCCCATCCCCTGCCAAGTACAAGGCAAAGGATTTGAGGCATCTCCAAAGCACATCTGTGGCTGCAGGGCTCCCCTGGCCCAACAAGACCCTTCCGGTTGGCAGGGACAGGGCACCCACAGAAATCACTGCACCAGACTTGAGAGTCCTCACCATAAAATGATTTGTTTGGAGGTCAGGCAGCTTCCCAGTCCAAGACAAAATATCTCCCAGGTAGGACTCTGCAAGCCAAGATTTATGGGGAAAAAGAGAGAAGCCTCAGGTTTAGCTTTGAGACCAGACTAACATGATTTTTCAGAAGTGCTGTGGCTTCTCAACAGCTCTGTTTCTTCCTGGGAAACTACCGAGAGATCAGCTCTTCTAAAAACTCACATTATTTGTCCGGGATCCTAAAAGGGGATAAATTACAGGCAGCTTTGGAAGTACCCAAGTGATTCAGGTGCTCATGGTCTTTGGCACCCAAATCCTTTTGGTGCTCCTAAAAAACACACGGGGAAGGACGTGAAGGTAACAGTGACCTTCCTCCCCACCTTCCTCACCAAGGATTAAGGCAAACTGCAGGGGCTGATCCCATCCAGAGCACACAGATCTGCTGGGAGACAGAACTGCCAGCAGGGCTGGGCTGTCTGGGGTGTCCTCAGCCCCACAAATCCACCGTTAATGCACTGGTTTGATGGAGCAGAGAGGGAGAAGGCCAAGGACAGGGGCCTCAGTTCTGACACCCAGGAAACTTCCGTGCATTCCCAAAGCCTCAAAAGTCAAAGGCCAAGCTGTGGAGATGCCAACACATTGAATCTCATTCAGAAAAACAATAACTAAACTGAGCAGCAGTTTAACTCCTAAATGCCATCACTGCAGTTCCAAACAACATTCAGTGACAGAAACTTGTGCTTCTCACAATTTTAGGTTCTGGGTCACCAACACCCAATTGCTGGATAGATTTAGGATGAAGGGGGGAAACAATAAAACTAAACCAAAACAAAAGCAGAGATGGACCATGGATTGTCCAATCTCAGAGACAATTTGTTGGCCCTCAGACAGAAACACAGGTGGTATTAAGGCAGCTTGTAGCAGTCTGTGTGTTCCTGCTCCCTCAGGCCTTTTGCCCAGAGAAGAAATTTGGAGGCAGAGGTTACATTACAGAACCTACATTACAAGCTCCATGCTGCAGTGCAGGCTTGGCAATTCCATGGAACAGCTGAAAAAACTTCCAGGAACCTCTTTTGCAAGGTTGTCACCTCTGCTCATGGAGGTTTGGAAAGAATACAAGAATACAGCTGTGCAATTTGTTCTGTGGGGAGAAGGTGTTTAGTTATGCAGATAATCTTCCCGTTTCGTAATGACATTGCAACTTCCCCTTACAAGCCAATTAAAAAGGGTTTAGTATGACTATTCTCTACTTTTAAAGCAGGAGAAATTCAATGCAAATTGAAAAACTGGTCCTGTCTATACCTGAACGGTGGTGTAACACTTCCAGATCTCATCCAAAGAACTATTTTTTTGGTGTTTGGTCCCATTTTTAAATGGAACCTCTTGAAGAACTGCAACCTTCACCTCAGCACATCTACAAGGACAAAACATATTGAGAAATAATTTTAAAACATGCCTACCAAATTTAGAGAAGCATTCATTTCCATGGTATAGATGGGGGGGACAGGATTGCTCTCGGGGACACTTTTACCATGATTTTCTGGAGGCGTGGGACCGCCCCAGGCCAAGTTACTGAGTAACAGAGGGAGGAGAGTGGCAGGACACAGCTTGCTCCTATCACAGGAGGCATCTCCCACATCCAAGGACAGAGCAAATACTCCATATAAAACATTGGAAGGGCAGGGAAATGCAGATGAAAGTGAGAAAAAATGAATACAAGTCACACATCAGCCTGTTTCCCACCCACAGGAAGAAAATCCTGCTACAAACGTGGGCCATAGTCTTTGCTTGCAAGCAGGGCAGGATTTCTACAGCACAATCAGGGGCTGAGCTGTCCACTTAATCTCAGCCTCTTCTGCAAGCAAGACAAGCCCATCTCCAAGGAATGGGCATCCCCCAAAGGCCACACGATGCTACAGCTGCACAGCTGGCTCCACTTCTTCCTAGTGACTCAAGTATCCAAGGTTTTCTCACGTGCAGCTGCAGAGGTTTGGATCCCCCATGGACCAGCATGGCATAGAAAATGAGAGGAGAGCCCAAGGAGGGGAGCTGAGGTCTGGCTGACCTGGCTCTGCCCTGGGGTCTGGCTGAGGGGCCCTGTTCAGGCTCATCCCTAACGAAAAGGCAGGACAGTTCAGCTCTAGTCTCACTGTGGACACACCTGCACACACACACACACACACACTCTCATTCACACACCCTCAAGCCTCTGGCTTGCTCTGTAACATCAACCTTACATTTATTTACAGCTTACTCTGAGAAAACTGTGCAATTTCAGCCAATCAAGCTCCCAACAAACCCTATATGGCATTTTCAGTCTCTGCTTCACATTTAAACGTTGAATGTCTTTTTCAACCAACGAAAACTGATGAGAAAAAGGTAGCAGCATTTATGAAAAGATGAAGGTTTATAAGAACAATTAAAAAAAAAAAGGTACCATTATCCCATTATGGAGCATTACTGCAGGGACTGAACAGAGAAGCTAGTGTTTGGATAGACCATGCCACAAAAGGTAGCCACCTTTTTGTGTGCGTGTTGGATCTGAAAAGGAAAAAGCACCTGAAAGATGAACAGTCCTCGTAAGCGTGTGCGCTTTTTGTTTTCACTCATGATCCTGGCAGAAGTGCGAAACTTGCTTGGTTTTCTTCTCTTTTTCCTCTTTTTTTTTTTTTTTTTTTTTTGGGTAAGTATTTTTTTGCTTTTAAATTTTTTTTTCTTCCTTTTTTCTGTTGTTTTTTTTTTTTCCTCTTTTTTTGGCAAAGTGCAACCACACCTGGTTACCACAGTTTTGACATGGCCGAAGGTGCAAGTGTGATGAGAGAAACCTTGAGTTCAGTTCAGGGTTCCCCTGCAGTTCTCAGAGCCACAGAGACACGGGATTTTTACATCCTCAATTGGAAACTTGTAGTCGTAGGTAATTTCCTCGTTCACATTGATGTGCTGCTTGGAGTAGATAACGATCTTCTTTTGAGACTCCACCGTGATCACTTTAGCATAACAATTTGGCTGCAAGGGTGACAGAACAGGTGATGATGTAGGTTCCCAGCCTCCACACAATTATTTCAAGATAAAATAAAACAGGACAGTCCTTTCCCAAGACATGACTCCAGAGCCTGGACTCAGGACAAGCCTGGGAGGGGAGGGGTGAGGCCAGAAAACAGAGCAGCCCTCCTTGTGCTGCTCCAAAATATCCACATTCTGCTCATTTGTGGAACAAAAGAGCTTGGCTGATGCTCCATCAAATTTGTCACAGGTTAAGAGAAGCTCAGTGCTGAACAATTTGGCCAGGCAGGCACATCTGAGTGCAGACTGCAGCACAGAGCAGAGGGGGAAACAGCAGGGAATATTTTCCCATCAGGACTCTAGAAGGAGACTGTTCCCACAGCTGAAATTTTGTATGTGTTAAGGAAATATTTGTTAGATTTGCTTGCTCACTGTCCATCAGGATCCCCCAAGACAGTCAGGAGGACTCTTGAGTGCACTCAGTCTCCCTGCATGTTTCATTTCTCAGGTCTCTCCAACCTCTTTACACTACTTTAAACCCTGCTCTGATCTGCTGTGGCTCATTAACATTTAATCACAACCCTGCGGCCCCCTGCCACTTCTGAGCACCCCAATCAGGGCTGGCAGGGACTCCCCGGGTTTGTCAGGGAGCCAGGCAGCAATGACAGGCAAGAGCAGCATACTCACATTGCAGCTGTGATTGATAAACCTGGCGAAGTTCCCGCATTTGGTGGCATCGATGATGGTGTCGTGGTCGACTCTGAACATGTAACTGCTGCCAATGCCCTCATCCTCGTATCGCTTCTCTCGCATGTCAGCAATGACCTGCAGAAACCCCAGGCAGGCTCAGGCCACGCTGCACAACTGACCTGTGAGCAGCCACCTACACAAGGCTCCCCTGAGCTCTGCTCGTGCCAGGCAATGGGGATTTATCTGATCCCCATCACCCCAAGAGAGCACACACCTGACTGGAAACACAGAATGTCAGGATGGGCTTCTTAAGGAGGATTCTCCTGAGTGTTCAGTTTCCATGGGCTGCTGAAATTCCCACCCTTGTACTCCCAAACCATAAGCCAACCTCTGCCCAGCCCAGAGCTGACACCTCCAACCCAGGACTCCAACCCTGGCTCTCATACTCAAGGACTTCTTCCAGGGCTGGTTTTTGCTCAGATTTCAGCCACAGCTCACCTGCCTGATGTTCTGACCCACGTACTCGATCACCATCTCATCAGCTGCAATGGGCTCCATAGCAAAAAGGCCCCAGTCGTGAATGTGGCTCTTGCAGAATTTTAGTTTTTTCTTCCGGAACTGCATGAAGGAAACACCCCAGAACCCCAACCCTGAATTAGCCACAGCACAGAATGGGAAAGGATGTCTCTGGGTTCACAATCTGCAGCAGGGGGTGATCTACCTTGAGCTGGTTGAACTTGAGCAGGTCACTGTCGCAGCTACCAGTGAAGGAGGAGAGGAGCCTGCGTTGCTCTGATCGCCTCTCGGAACCAGCCCGGGTGGAAGCGTGAGGTTGGGCAGGGATGCTCATACCCTGAGAGGACAAATGGGTGATCAAAGCTGATCCAACACTCTGCAGGCTCCCTGTGAGCAACCCCCTGTGCTACAACACATCACCACAGAACACCTGACATCAAACATTAACACTTCCCACACAACCCCAGGACGATCGATGAGACACAACAGCTTCCTCTCCCTCCTTGCCAAAAGGCAGGAAGCACCTACTGTGTGTGACAATGTCAAACCAAATCCCATTGACACCTGGCACTCGTGGATTCCTCACCTGTGTGTCAGCTGGAGGCTCCTCTGCAAAAGCTCGGCTATTGTTGAGGTATTTGAGTTTGTCCTTCTTATCAATTTTGTAATAGCCTTCGCTTCGTGCACAGCCTGTCACGTGCTCCCGCATCCCATCATCCCTCTTCTTCTTCTTGGGGGTAGAAAAGCTGGTAGGTGGCAAGAAGTTAAGGAGAAACACAGCCAGAGGTGGATATCAGACTAAACTTGCTACAGTTGCATGGAGCTAACACCGGGAGCCTGGAAAATTAGGAAGGTTTTGTGGGGTTGCAAAAATTAACATTACTACCAAGATGCTGCTCAGCCCAAAGGCCTTGGAGAGATGCTGCTCTCACCAGCCTTGAGAAATCAGCTCCTTCAGACACTCATTACAAACCTTCAGCTTTGAAGGCACCTCCAGGGCTTTGGCTCCTGGAAGGACAGTGGAGGTGTACTGCTGCCAGCTCACCCCACAAACACAGCCATGAAGGCTACAGCAATTGAGACTGACCTAAAAATGCTTCCTGTGAGGCAAAACATATCCTTGACACCAGAAAACTGAAGCAGTGGGACCATAAAAACCAAGAGGTGAGGGCCTCCAAGCTGGAGTGCTGAGGGTTTGCTGCAGAGCAGGTGAGCCTGCAGGTACTTTCACACTTGCCATGCAGTGTGGCACACGATGAACTCAAGGTGATTTTGAAGTGGCTTAAAAAGTGAGCGTAATTTTGCTGTTACAATATAATCCTTATCAAGAGGGGAAGAGATTTATTTTCACTATGGGTTTTGTTAGTTATCACTCACTGTTTTTAGGTGGTTTGGGCTGTTTTGGTTTTGCTTTCCTGTCTTGCAGGAAGCAAGGGATGAAGATATCTAAACTTCACACAATCTCTAGCAACACACACAAGGTGGTGTGTTTGTTTTCTTCAACACATAAACCTGTACATCCTTCCTGAAAACAGTACTGGAGAGTTCTGAGGTTTTCAGAACAGTCTTTTAGGCTCTGCTCTGGAGATCACTACTGGTGGCTGCACACACACAGAGCCCTGATGTATCACTTGGAAACCACTGATTCTATCAGTATTTCAATCTCAAAGCAAGTTAAAGATGCTAGAACCACAAACTCATTGTTTTAGGAACAGATGGTGAGATTATTTTTACAGCAAGTTTTAGCTCCAAGTGAAAGCTGTGTATGTGCAGACTAGAAATTCCACAGGCAAGCTGGAAAAAAAGTCTGGTTACATGCAGACAGAAGCTTCTCAAACTAGGAAGGAAACCTCCCCAGAAGAGGTGCCTAGAGACTGTCCCTGCACTTCCAGACTGAATGTGCAGCAAGAACAGCCACTTCTCCAGTATTTTTGTGTTGCAGCTTCACAGAATAAAACAGCCTAAAATCCCCTGCTCATCCAAGCAATCGCTATTCTTGTAAGCAACTGCTTCTCCCACCAACTTCTCGTGCATCTCACACGTGCTGCCAACACAGAGAGAAAGGATATAAGGATGGAAAACCCACAGGGTGTCATTGAGCCAGTCCATACCGTTGTCCTGCTGTAACAAGCGGTCGTATGTGATACACATGAATTTGATATCCTCCTCGTCGATGCCTCCGTTCCAGATGTCATACAAAATGGTCATCTCCTCAAACTCGGAGCGCGGCCTGAACTGCGGCTGGGGTGGGGAATACTCGGGGGAAGGGATCATGGGCAGCTCCTCTGATGTCTTCTTCTGCCTTCGCCACTGTCTCTTAGGTTTTGCGTGAGCTTCTTCTTCCTTGAAGTCTTCATTCCACTGGTTCTCCAGCTCCTTGAATGGCAGTTTCTCTGCAACTGTCTCAGCTGCTATTTTCTCGTGGAAACCGTCATTCCTGAAGTCCAGGGTGACGGCTTCAGGGTCTTTCAGTCCATAGTAGGCATCAGGATGTCCACTCAACAGCTCTTTGCTCACAGGACCTTCCACCAAGGCCACTGGCATGGGAGGAGGCTCTATGGTTTTGCCCGAGTACACATCCAGCGAGAGGACAGAAGGTGGGGACCGCCTCGGCCGACCCGGCCTCCTTTTGGGAAGAACAGAAGGTGGTGGAGGGGGAGGAAGAATAGAAGCCCCAGGGGGTACTTCTGGGGAGAGCAAACTGGGTTTTACTTCTGCCTTGCATTCCTCGATGGGCATTCTTCCATCTCCATGCATGCATGGCAGGGCTGCTACAGGTATTGGCTCATCAGGTGGCAAACCCATGTCCATGTGGAAATCTGCTTGTGGGGGGCTGGCAAAGGGGATAGGGGAAGGAACACTGTTCATGCTGATCGTAAGGGAAGCACCAAGAGGCTCTTTAAAGGGTTTCTCTTCTAGCTCATCCTCTGACTGTTTCTTGCCAGGCAGAAGGCAAGGAATGGTAGCACCAGCCTCTGGGAAAGTAGGCGTGAAATTGAAATCTCTCCCAGGAGTCCGAGGAATGCCACTGTTAATGCCAGGAGATTGGGACGGGTAGGAAAAGGGGCTCCCTGGGACTTGAGGGGAACTGAGGGTCAAGCTGCTTCCTGTAAGGGGAGCATCACTTCCTGGCGTGGCTGGAACAGTGTCCGTGCTCTGCGACTTCGCAAGGGGGTGTGAAGACTTGGCCAAAATGTCCCGCCCGGGAGTCCTAGGAATCTCCTCTTCCACGGACGTTTTGGTCACCAGTAATTGTTCAGGGAACTTTTCTGGAGGGACTAAAGATTCTTCCTTGCCGGGAGTCGATGGCAAGGGAAGCATGGAGGATGGCACCTTGTGGGCTGGAAGCAGGAGAGTCTCAGTCTCCGAGTGGATCATCACCTCCCGTCCAGGCGTGCGGGGCAGCCGCTCGTCCTCCTCCGCTGCCGACGGCGGCTTTGCTTTAACTCGGGCTTCCAAGCTGCTCTCCTCAGACTTGCCAAAGAAGCTGCTTTTGCTGGGCAGAGGTTCTCCAAAGACTGCCACTGGAGTAGAGATACAGAGAGCTGCTTCCTCATCTTGAGATTCAGGCTTTGGACCTTCCTGTACCTCTGGCTCCAACATGGAAGTGGGTTCGGACTCTTCCTCTGAAAGGGAACAGAGAGGAGAATCAGGAGCTTTGCCTCCACTTGGTTATTTGCCACTTTCTAGTAAAGACATGTTTAAGATGCCACAATTAAAGAACAGCTCAATTCCACTGGGAGGATTTAAAACTCCAGTGCTTTACATTTTGGAGGCACAGAATGTAGAGTAATTAGACACTACCACACACTTTCCTAATGGACCATAAAAAACCCACACTATTAATTTGAGGATTAGCTACGACACAGACCAGAACGAAGGTTTCTCTGCTTTCAAAAGCCCTGACAACCTTTCTTACAGACATTAGAGGAGTGAGTGGATTGTGGGGTGAGGACTTTGGAGAAGAGCTGTCAGAGCTCAGAGTTATCACCTTTTCTAACGTGGGAACTAAACTAATTGCAGGCCAAGGAGCACCCTCAGCTCTGCAAGGAGGAAGCAGTGAAGGGAATAGCAGAACACTCCTGAGTAACACGTGAAGGAAATGGGAAGCCCCGGTAATGGATGAGGAGACACTCAGATGGTATCAATGAGGCAATTTATATGCTGCTCTCCCTGCAGCAGCCTCATTTATCTGGAGTTTATTTACCCACTTAGGGCCAGGTCCAAAAGGAATCAACGTTGAATCTTGTTAGGCAGCTCAAAATAACATTTTGAAGTGGGAGAATGAAAGGAGGTGAAAACGCCTGGAGAGTTAGAAGGGAAGCATTCCCTGCTTGTGCTGAACAAACCAGGGCTGCTGGAGAAGGGTCTGAGCCCTGCAACTCCTGTAGGACAGAGCTGGGCTGCTCAAGAACAATGCTGCAGTTTGAGTTTGTTCCCATAGCTTACCTGGAAAGCTCCTTACATGTCAAGTTGCTCACGTGCAGGTGTCTCCAAATTTATGTTCTTTTGGCACACTGACCTGTTCTAGAACGGATTTGTGCAAAACCAGTTCTTCTTTGCCCTGCCCAGTTTAGCATTTTACCTCTTTGTGACTTTCAGATTTTGCAGCAGCCAAGGAATGACTCCCTGTGCATGGACTGGACCTCCAGCTCTCCAAGAGGCAAAACACTGCCCAGTTCTCAGACATCAGTGCTGCCCAAGGCTCCACAGCAGGCCCCACTAGATGTGCCCTCCATGTTGGCTCCAATTTCAACTTTTAGATTTCCCCCAGTTCCTAAATTATTCAAACTATATGCATCTCATTCCTGGTCTAGTAAAAGGTTTCCAATTTCCTTGGGTTAAATACAACTCTGTACTGATTGAAGATAATTTCTTTCTTCCAGAAAACTAGAGAGTAACTCATTTAAAAGGAGTAGGTGACTCCCATAGTCAAAGTAGTATTTCCCCAACAAATAATATTAGGAACCATACATAACTCTGAGACTCCGCTCACCTGCCCCACACAGCCTCCCTGTCACATACTGCTTGGATATGAAAATCAAAAAGAGCCAGTAGTGACATTCCTGTTCTGTTTTAGCAGCCATGGCTTTTCTATCTTGAGCTTCAGCCACCTGATCAGTGACCCTCGGATGAAGACAACTGTTCAGTTCCTGTAGGACTCCGACTAAACTGGCCCAGGATAAGATTCTGGATACAGTAACCACAGTATTTTTAGTAGCAGATGGCTCATGTAAAGCTTCTTACTAGGAAGGAAAGTTCAGCACAGACCTCTTTCCCTGTACAGATAATCCCTAGCCTAGAGCTGAGACTGGAAGAAGAAAGAGAACAAGGGAAATACAAACATTGGATACCGGGAGAAAATTTACTTGGAAACATGGTAAAAAAACTCCAAAGCACATGGAAGGGCATACCTGGCCTACAGATGGGAGAGAGTGCAAGTTTTGTCTCCTGGTCTCTTTCCATAACCAAGTGTTTCAGAGTTTCAGCAGCAATAGAAGCCCCCGGGACTTGGCTGCACTCACTTTCCCCTGCCTTGATTTCTTCACTGCCTTCATCTTTCACAGCCAAAGCTGGCTCGGCAAGTCCCAAGCCTGTTGCATCCATGTAGTCATCCACAGGATACAGGTCCAAAATAGTCTCCCTCTCATCATCAGGAAGCTCAAGACCAGCAGGTTCATGCTCTGGCTCAGCAACCATGGCTTCTCTGCTTTGATCTTCAGCCACCTCTTCCTCCTCTTCTTCCTCCTCCTCATCTTCATCGTCATCATCGTCCTCCTCATCTTCATCATCCGAGTCTGAACTTGACTCGAATTCAGAGGAGTCCTCACTTTCATCAGATGATTCAACTTCAGCCTTGGAAGACGAGGGACTTGCTACATCTACAAGAACAAACTGCCATTAGTTCTGCTTTCTGGCTTTATTAAACAATCAGGGGCAAAGATCCCTTCTACTGTAAAAGTGTGGGAACAGCATCAACAGCAGCACACAGGTTTGAAGGAGTGGCCTTCCAATTTATTCATTTCTGCAAAGATTTATAAATCCTGTCTCTGGCTGCTTACAACAATCACTGTACAACAGATGAGGAGCAGTGCTGCTGGCACCTTCCCAAGTGGGTCTCTTGGTGCATTGTATTTTTTACTGAGATTTTCTGCTGCCTTTACAACATGGGCTTAAAAAGTGGAAACAGCCACCTTCTAGAGCAGAAACTGATAGACAGGACAGAGTTATTAGCAGCCAAATTACCCTTGGCTGAAATCTGGTCCCTCTTCCCCCCAGCCACTCCTGTTTCACAAAACAAGCACACATTTAGCTGAGCTTGAGACCTGTGCCCCTGTGCCAGGCTGGGCTGAGATCAGGTAGGGGCTGGAGAGCTGCAGAGGGACCCACTGACTGAGGGATCAGGGGAACCTCACAGGTAACAATTAAAAATATCTCTCTGCATTATATTGTGTAAAACTGCCTGTCAGTGAAAGGAGGCACACAAGTAGCAAAATCAGCTTACAAAAGCAGAAGGGAGACCATAGCTGACCCGAGGGTGACACTCGCTGCTTCCACTGGAGCTGCTTACCCTCCTCAGAGTCCTGCTCCTCCTCCTTGTCACTTGTATCTATGCCTGTCTCCTCCTCATCATCTTCATCCTCGTCTTCATCATCATCTTCATCCTCATCATCTTCATCCTCCTCATCCTCCTCTTCCTCCTTTGCAAGAGAGCATTGCCAAAAATGAGCAGTGCCTGAGCCTGTGACCTGGCTGCCAGTGCAGTAACCACCAGAGACTCTCAAGGAGGCTGCCAGAGAACCTGAAGAGGGAGTGACCTGACAGAGGTTCTGTAGGCACAGACCCCACCAGGAGCACTCAATTCCCAGAAAAGGGAACTTTGGCATTTGGCATTACCAGGCTCCCTTTTAATGACAGACAGCATTGAAACTGCAGCCACACACCGACATACCTTGCCAGGTGCTGCTTTCACCAAGCCTCCCTCTTCTTCCTGCTCCTCTTCCTTCTCTGAGGAGGACTCTTCCTCTTTCCCTGATGTCTCATCTCCTTCTTCTCCCTCGCTGTCAAGCTCCAATGGCCTTGCTGGTCGCCGTCGCAGCCCCACTGCCTCTGCATCCTTCTTTGACAGCTCAGATGTTGTATCAGAAGCATCCCTGTCCCTCTCTGACTCTGATGAGCAAAAGCAACAGAAATTATCATCAAATTCCTTGCAAAGGACAGAGTTAACTACATAAGGGAAATTTCTTCTCTGGAAAGACTGAAGTTAGGAGCAATGCGCCCATGTGGTGTGAGGCTTACAGGGACTCGCTGATGTTACAGTGAACAGTGCTGATGGCAAAATGTGGGTGGCCAAAACTGACATTTCCTAGCCAGAGCAGACAGGAGACATGGCATGACTGAAGTCAGGACAGGTAACCTGAATTTAATGCTTTTTTTGTTTCATTTTTTGGCTTCAAAACCTCTTGTTAATCTGAATCTACTTCAACATGAACCCATGTGTAAAGCAAAGGGTATTCAAAGCTTTGTCTCCTCTTTACTCTTTCCAGGTTATAGGAAATAATGTTAAGATATTTTCAAACAGATTTTTCTGGCAAATAACTTTGGTTTCTTTCTCAAACCAAATGCAGAGCTAACTGTTGTGTGCTTCCTCCCACCATGTCCCAGGGAGCTGTGAGCACACCCCAAACAGCCCATGAACCCATCTGAGCTCCTTCTGCTGGGGCCCAGCACAGCTAAAACAGGTTATGAATTATTCTTAAAATGTGTGTCTTAAACTTTCCACCAGTGAATTTCAGATAATTGAACCCAGAGAGGCCATGTCCCAGCTGATGAGAGCTCTGTGAGAAGCAGGGTTTGGCTCAGATCCTTGACTCTATTTAACTGTAAGCGAGCACACTGCTGTGAAGTTTAAAGGGATTCAGCTTGAGTGGGGTTTGCATCTGCTCCTAGGTTTCAAACAAATGCACTTTGCAAACCTTCATCTTCATCATCCACAGAAGTAGAAGGCCGGATTCTCTTCTGATCTCCCGCTGAGGCAGCTTCAGGTGGCTCCTTTCTTTTCACCTGAACAAAAGACACAATTAGCATTTCTAAAAGTTTAGAAACAGCAGAAATCAACTTCTTAAGCAAATTGCCACTTCTTTTTGCTGTGGTCACTTACAGCAGAAACCAAGGGCCACTTCCCAGCTCTTGATCTCTTTATTTGCTTGCAAACAGAATTTCACTCTGAATGAAACTCTACCCCTTCAATTTGCATGAAAACACCCTGGGTACCAGCATGGTGCATGTCATCACCAGGTACTTTGAGGATGACAGATCTTGACAAATCCATGTGTTCTGAGATTGTAGCAGAACAGAAAGAGAGCCTAATCTTAAAGAACCTCAAAGCAAGTTTTACTCTAAATAAAGACTGGAGAATCTCTCATACCAAACCTTTACTTGCACCTTCTCTGCATTCAAAAATCCTAATTTCAGGGAAGCCCTCTATACTCCCCTACCTCACAATTCTTTTAAGGAACTTCTAATTTTTTATGCAAATGCTTTTCAAAACAGATACCCTGTGCTTCTGAGGAGACAGAGTTTAAGCAAACTTCAGGTGAGATTCAGCTGCTAAAGCAAAACAGTAACTGTTTAAAGCACCATGAGCATAGGTGTATTTTTATGATCATGCTGAAATGCTGTGTCCTAAACACAGCCAAATGTTCCCTTTCCCTTGCTGAGCAGGGAGATCCTCTAGAGACAATGCACACAAGCGGAGGGTGAAAATCTAAGGGAACAGAGGGTCCTTGCTCTGCTCCTGGAGGGTCAGAAGCAACCCCCTGAGTGAACACAGAGTGGGGTGAACAGCCTGAGGGCTCTGGGGCACAAACCTAGTGAGGTCTGTCCTCCTAAGGCTCCTCTCTGGGGGATGTCAGCATAAGGAAGAGAGTTTTTTGTTTTCACCTTGAAGGATGGCAGCCGGATGGCCCCTCGTAACCCAATGCCCAAGCCGATTGCCTCATATCCCAGCCCTTCTCCTTTGTTCCAGTTCTCCAGAAGACAAGAGGCAATTCGATCCTTTGGCTTTGGTTTTTCCTCCAGTTCTCCTCCAGACTTCACTGGAGTGAGAGACGCCTGCAACAGAGAAGGCACATTTGAGAGGGAAAATTTCCTGGGAAGGACACGAGCTCTGGAAACCATTTAGACAGTTGAGGTTTGAGAAATGTCACTGCCCTGCCCAGGCATCAGTTTCTTTGAGGGCATCTGAAGGTGCCCCACACTGGAGAGGAAATAGAGCTGCACAGAGTAATACAAATAACTTGAGTGTGCTTTAGGCAAGTCAGCCCAACACTCTGTTATCTACCTTCCTTTGCTAAGCCACATAACTGAAAGCAACTCCAGACCTTCCAGTTGGGAACACCTTCCTTCTGTTGAGCATAAGGCCAAATATAGTGCATCAAAAATCACACACATCCCTGTGTTTCCTTAGCAACCACAGCCCCAGTCCACAAAACCTGTCAGAAGGCTCCAGTCCTGGGAACAGGAACATAAAAATATTTAGACGAAACACCAAAGGGTCTACAAAATAGACACACAGCCTCAACAAATCCTTTTTCACCAGAGCTGAGATGCAAAGGAAGAGCAGGAATTCAGACCTCTACAGCTGTGGAGAGGTGGACAAGCCAGGAGAATGTCACACATGGTGTGCCAGGGGCACAGGAGGTGACAACCACCTGCATCAGCCCATGGCACAACACCCCAAACAATTTCTCTTGCATACCCTAACGGAGCTCACATGCTGAAGTGGGCTGTAACCACCAAAGAGGCAGCACAAGCTCAGCTCTCCTGCTAATAAGGGACAAGACTAATGGGAATATCAAACAGAGAACCCAGCAGCAGCACTCCATGGCCAGGAGTTATTCCTGGCACTCTGCTTAATGCATCTTAATCAGGCTTTCAAACCTAAACCCACCACTAGGATTTGGGAACAAGGAAAAGCTTTCCCTTAGCTCAGGCAGAAAAGGTTCATGGAACGTGCTGCCTTCCCTAGCAACATTCTCCTTTCACAGCTTTCACCTCACACATTTTCCACTCTGCCTGACCCAGGACACCAGTTTTATTCCTGAGCCTTCCCACCCTTTACCTAGGGCATGACGCCTCTTGGCTGCCAGAGTTGGAATCAATCAATCAATCAATCAATCAGCTGCCTTTGATGGAATATAGCAGCCAGAATCAGTGTGATGGCAGAGATGGGGAACTGACCTCCAACTGCCACCAAGGAGCCCAGTAACCTCATCCTCACACACACCAGCAATGGGAAGGTACAGTTTAAGCTGAATATTCATATTTTGTTTTTGCAAAAGCAGGCAACTTGTGCCTGAAAAGGAATCCTGTCTCACCCAATTCTAGGGGTGCCCAGTCCTAGCAGAAAGGAAGCTCTGTGAGATTTTTCTACACACAACAGTAACACATGCTGTGGGGCAGAAATGGTTCTGGCATCTCTCTTCCTGGACAGAAAGCACATGTGGTTTTCCATGCAGCAATTTCATATTTTCAGTTACACTGCTCACATCCAACATAACCTGTGGCAAGGACTGTGGTAAGCTGCTGTGGTACAGTCAGCTTCACTTCCCAAAATTGCTTATAAATCCCAGGTAAGTGAAGAACACCCCAAATCCAGCCATAACTTGGGATGTAAAAGAGCCTGAAGATCTGCCTCAACTTGCTTCTGCTTCTTCACCACAGATGTCAGGTTTAAAACAATTTCTTGAGTATTTCAGTTGCTGTTTTTGCAACTATTTGCTGGATCTGTTTCTTTTATTGCCCTGGAAACTCAGGGGCCTCTTCCAACACTGTCAGCACACGCTTGCTGGCAGAAGACAAGCTCTGAGCATTAGTCAGGAGGAGAGGGACAGGGTTTCTGCTGCACGTCACGCCAGCCAGCTCTAAGCCACAGCAAATTACACTGTCATAAAACAGCTGTTAAGCAGCAGCATTACCAACCCCTCCAGAAAGCCAAGGAGCTCTCCCAGGCACCAGAGTTAACACGCAACTGGTTTACAAAAACAGGTGGTGAGGATACTGCTCTGAAAACTGACATCTGAAACAGATCTACCTGCAGGTTGTAGTTTGTTTTGTTATTTTTACAGTAATTCACTGCAATGGTAATTTTGAGACTTGCATTAACCTTTCTGTAGTGTTAGGTTTTTTGAGTAGTGACAAATTCACCACATGTTAGATCACAGAGCTGTTTGCTCGCTGAGGTATACTTCAAATTGGGTGAGAAAAGGATCAGAGGATTCATGCAAAGCTGTTTTCACAACTAATCCCTGGAACTCTTTGTGTATTTGGCCAATGTTCAGTTTTTGAGTTAATTGCTGCTTTGTACATGCACTGGGGAGGGGCAGAACTGGAAATACCCACAAATCTCACTGCACAAAGTGGGGAACACAAAACAGAGCTTTGGTGGTTTCAAACATTCCTCTTGCATCTGACCTTAGTTTTTCGGAGCAAACCTCAGCTTCCTCTTGTACGTAACAATTTAGGATTTTGGGTTTTTTGAAGTCAGCTCCAGACCCCTGCTGACCCCACACATTGACCACAACACTCTCCCCAGGACCCAGGACAAAGCATGCAAAAACCTACTTTTGCAAGACGTTCCTTCTTGTCCCACCAGTCATCAAACGCCCGGAACGCCACCACTTCGACCATCTTGCGGTTCAGGTCCCTTTTCATGATGGCCTTTAGTTCCTTCACTATGACCAGGAGGACTCCATCCACAGTGGCTTTGTGGGGATCTTCCTTCTTCGGTTCATAACCCGGGGGTGGAACCGAGGGGTCAAACTTGGGCAGCGGTGGCCACTGCTGCCCGCGGGCGAGAGCGGCTCCCATGGAGAACGGGCGGTAGGGAGGAAGATTCACAAACTGCATCCGGCCCGTCATGAAAGGCGGGTACTGGTACGTGTTCTGCGCCTGCATCATGCGGCTCAGCATCTGAGTTTGCATCTGGAAGGACATCGGCATGCCACCCCACTGGTTGCCCAAGACACTGATCATATCCACCTGCATGACCGGGAACATGCCGGGATGGAAGGGGGGCAGCGGGGGCAGGATGTGAGGCGGAGGGACCCCGGGTGG